AAAGAGCACAAGGCCGACCCCTCAATGCTGGTATCCACTCTCAGTGCCATCCTGCTCCCACCTCTCAAAGGCGTGCTTTCCCTTTCATTTTTCTCTGCTTTGCACTTTCATTCTACCCACTGTAAAGCTTTGTTGTTCCCGTGCAATTGTCACTTGGCTGATCTTGGCTGACTTCTTCCTTCCAAGAAGACAAGAGCTGGGGTATTTGTCTCTGTGTACAAGGCCACCCGGCATATCTGACAACAGGTCTGGGCGTTCTCTTTCCTCTGGGGGGCACCTCCTGTGAGCCTCTGGGACCTCTCTAAAGAAGGAGCAGAACGGGTCGGGACCCCTGGGGATGGCCTTGAAAGCAGATCCACCACCTCCAATATCCTCAGGTCCTGAGCTTTCATGCAGAGATGTGGGCGTGACTGAGCCCATTCAACTCCACCTGCAGCTCCAGCAGCTCACCGGACAATTCCTCGTTCCTGGGCGCCGCGCATGCGTACATACACACACACACACACACACACACACACACACACACACACACACACACACACACACACACACACACAGAGGCCCCACATCACTTCCCATATCAGAAATATAAAGCTCCTTGTGCAGCCCCAAAAGCGAGGCTTGACCCCAGTCCTGGTACTACATTTCCCAGAAGGCTATGCTACAATCCGTCAGGCTCTGCAAGCCGGGGCTGCTCTGGACTCCGTTGCCTTCTGGGAAATGAAGTCCGACGCCTGCGCCGCGCAAAGGCTCCAGGGAGTTGTAGTTCGCTCCCGCCTCGCGCAGGCGCACTTCTTCGCGGCGGCCGCTGGGCTACTCTTTGTGGCGGCCCCTGTCTTTTTGTCGGAGGCCGGTCTCCTCGCTCGCTCGCGCTTCGGTCCGACGGTCGCTCGGTCCCTCCTCGGTCCCGAGGCCTGTCTGCTAGTGCGCGCCCCGCCCCGGGGGGGGGGAGCCGCAGGCCTTCGCCCAGAGGAGTGTGTGACCGCGATGGGGCGTGTGTGTGACCGCGATGGGGCGTGAGCCAGCACGGCCGTGGTGCATTTGCTGAGCCCGCCGGAGCCCGACCGGGGGCCGGGAGGGAGCTCCGTGCGCGGGATCGTGCAGCCGGGAGTGCCGATGCGTCCCGGGAGGCTCCCTGCAGGCCGCTGAGCCCCAGAAGCAAGATTCGCCCTCTGGACCTGACCTCGGGGCGGGGAGACCACAGAGCTGCCCCCTTCTCTGGGGGACGCAGCCAAGGCACGCAATGGAGACCATGGCCCCGAAGCCCCAAGAGACAGGTACAGCTTCGTTGCTTTAGTCATTGGGTCTGTGGATTTGAACTCGAGACGGACACTCAGAGAGGTCAAGGTAGCTTCTCAGAAGCACCCAGCAAATCAAGCGTCCTGCCTCGGCACACGTGCAACCGTTGGTCCCCACTGTCAGGCATGCTGATGGCAGGGGCAGAATGCACCCCGATGCTGTTTCTGATTATGCTGGCCCCTGGGATTATTCTCTGCTCAGTTTGCCAGCCCATTCTTTTTTGTTTTAGTTATTTTTCAAATCTTTCTTTCTTTCTTCGTTCTTCTCTCTCTCTCTCTTTTTAATAGATTTTTGCAATAGGACACGTGCACGCACCAGAAAGACAGAAAGTGAGAAATCACCCTCCAGGGGGGATGGCCACACCGCAATCCCTTCTCCATCCTCCTTTCAGGATTTTGGGCACGCATGCACACACACCTGGTGTGAATTTCAAGCAGCTGGGTCCGGGACTTGAACTGCGGTCACCAGCTCTCTGGTTCCCTCCCTATGCCAGGACTAGCTGGGTAAGCCGTGGGCACAACAGACCCCCTGACTCATGTCTCCTTCCCCAGCTCTTTCCTCTCAGGACCTCACTCTCTCCCTCAAAGAGAATCCGGATGATACATTGGGCTGGAATCTCCTGGAAGCCAGGTCGGAGGTGAGTGGCTGTCATTCTAGGAAGAGGGTCAACACGTTTGCTCCCTAGACCTGGATTTTCTGTCATTACGGATGCCCCCTCCGCCCTTCCTTGGGCCTCCTCAAGGGTCTTCAAGAAGCTCTGGGCAGTGGAGACAGCTCCAGTTGAAGAGAGTCCAGATGGCAGCCCAGGTGTGGCCTCAAGGTGAACGCTTATGAAGGGCCCTTCCAGGATATTTGGTCCCCTAGATGTGTCCCTGTCCTGTGGAGTGGGATCAGTAGAACCTGAGCCAGTAGGTGGCAGCACCCACCGGGTCACTTAACTGGTCTCCACATACTGGCCAGGGGCTGGTGCAGGCCCTTGGGACGTTTGGTCGAATTTACTGAGTTGGATCGAGGCAGGGGTGTGTGGGACAGCTGAGAGAAGACCTGGGATGCATCTCTGAGTGTTTTCTTCTGAATCAGACTACTGACATGTAGCCTTCTGGGAAGACTTGGAGGTTTAAAGAATCTAGGGGAATGGGGACCAGCAGTTAGCATAATGGCTATGTCACTGGACTCCCATGTAGTCGACCACGGTTCGAGTCCCGGACTCGGTGGCTTAAACTCACACTGGGCGTGTGTGCGTGCGTGCCCAGGATCCCGAGAGGATGGATGGAAGAAAGGGACTGTGGTGTGGCCATTGCCCTGGGGGGTGACTTCTTACTTTCTCTCTCTCTCTCTGTCCTCCATCTCTCTCTGAGGTGCACACATGCCATGTTGCCAAAAAAAAAAAAAAAAAAAAAAAAAAAAAAAAAAAAAAAAAAATAAAAAAAAAAAAAAAAAAAAAA